CCCTCTGCTCAGTGGAGAGTCTGCTTCTCCCTTTCTCTCTCCCTCTGCCTCTCCCCCTGCTCATGCTTGCTCTCTCTCAAATAAATAATTTTTTAATTTTAAAAAGTATAAGAAAAGTAAAAGTATGAAGAGGTTCAAAAAATGAAAAACAAAAACAAAAACATCTGTCTTTATCTGCAGGCAATATGCTAAACCACATACACAATCCAAAACAGGCACTTAGTAAATAAAAACACTCAATGTGTGTGTGTGTGTGTGTGTGTGTGTGTGTGCTTCTATATACCAGCAAGAACCAATCAAAAAAGTAATTAAGTATGTTTTATATAAAATTGCCTCAAAAATTAAACTACTTGGGGATATAACAAAAAAAATGAGTGGAAAATCTATATGTAAAAGGTTTTAAAAATTTACAAAAGCATGAAAAAGAGGACCTATCAAAATGATGGCGACAGACAATATTGATGATGCTATTAATCTGTGAATTTAATTAATCAAAATTTAAAGCAACACCAATCAATATCTCAATAGAGTTTTTCAAAGAATGTACAAGTTAACCTTAAAATCATTTGGAAGAATAAAGAAACCAAAATGTAAGAAAGTTTGGACAAGGAGTTAGAAGGAAATGTATAAATTATAACCATGGTTATAAACAGATAGACCAATGGATCAGAATAGAGAGCCCAGACATACACACATATATAAATGAGAACTTTATATCTGAAAGAGTAGCATTAGAAAGTGCTGACTTTTTCAACTCATGATGGAAAAAAGCCTTCTTATAAGGAGTAAAATTTAAAACTTATGAAAGAAAAAACTAATACAATACTTTTATCAGCTTGGCTTAGGGAAAGATGTCCTACATAAGATACAAAAAATACTAATCACAAATTTAAAATGACATTTTCAATAACATACATTTCAAGCTTCAAAACAAAAGACCCATAAGCAAAATTAGAAGTCAAGCAAAAGTGGTGAGTCAAGATTATTTAAATAAATATAACTGACAAAAGTATTGCACCCAGAATTCTAACTAATCAACAAAAAGAAGACAAGCAACAAGAAAAATCATCAGAGGCTATGAACAGCCACTTGACAGAAATAGGAAACCAAGATGGTCAATAAACTTGTGAAATGATAGTTCCTGGTAGTGAGGGAAACAGAAATAAAATAACAAAAGATAATTTCCTACCCCTCAGATTTATGAAACTTTATAAAAAGCCTAGAAATCCCAGGTGTTGGAAAGTGTGTGAAGAAATGTTATCTCTCTCATCCTGGTGGAAGTATAAACTGGTCCAGACATTTTGAAGAGCAATTTGGCTTTATCTTTTGTGCATATCCAAGAGAAATAAATTAATGCTGACATACATAACAATGATAAACATAAAGAATGTTCCATGTAGTACTAATAGCAATAGCAAATATAATGAAATAATTTGTTTTCATCGATAGGGGGATGGACAAATCATGGGGAAATCACATAATGAACGATTCAAATTGTTCTCCACTAAATAGCCCTACTAGTATTGACAAATATGGTCACATTCCAAAATCAGAACACTGGGAGATGTTTTGAAAACCCATAAATTAATACAACATATTTAATGTAATAAAAATATGACAATCAGAACTAGAGGGTTACCCATCCACTTCAGAATAGTGGTACCATTTGGGAGAGGGAGGGTAAGCTCAGGTATCCATCTGTATCCCCAATATAGTGCCTTATAAAGTTTGCATTTATCAGCCAGTTTACCACGAAGGCGCGTTAGTAAAGACTGTAGTGACTCAAATAAGTAAATAATTCCTTTCTGCTTTACTGATGATGGTGACTTGATACACTTTTAAAAAGATCTCAGCTCTTTTCTCTTACAAGTTTCTTTGGGAAAATTCAGTGAAGCAGAACCCGTCCATAACCACTAACGTTGGCAAAGTGCCTTGATGAAAATTATTACCATATTGTGATGATGTGTTAATCTAATTGCAAGAAAATGTCATTCTCTTAAAGGAAATATTTGGTTTCCCCAGCCTGTAAATTTGTATTAGCTATTCTAACTCACTGGTTCAAACCAAACTCCAGTACCTGGTTCATAATAATTAACTGCAGATAAATCAGTTTGAATCACAGTCATTTGGCTATTCTCTGTAAGAGACACTGTTAATATTAAAATACTCAGTGGTACCTGCTTAGCATGTTTGCCTTCATATGCTATTTCCAGTTTCTTTGTAAGTTTGCCAAGTGTTTTCAAATGAGTCCCCTGGGAAAATGACCTATCAGTAATTTTTTCCTGCATTTTCTCAGGCTGATAGGAGAGCAGTTCTTTGATCGTGCTGAGGGTTGCACTTCTTAGTTTCCTAAGTACAGAGAAACCTTATGTTTGTGCAGCTAGGCAGAGCATGGTGCCAGCACTGGATATTTTTGTGTCTTACATAAAGCTTAAAAGCTGAAATCACGATCTGCAGGTTAGAGGAATAGAGAATGTCTCAATGTTTTAACTAAAATTATGCTAGGCTCTTTATTCTTCATCCCTTAGAATTTTATCCTTTCATACTTTGCTCTTTTCCATTACTTTTCTCAACTAAACTTTCTTCCCTTCCCACACAATCCCTCCTCCCACCCAACGACTTTCACAAAAGTACACAGAAAATCATTATGGGTCCTTTGCAGACAGGGGAATATTTTGTTTCCATTATCTGAGGTAAAAATCTAATAGTAATAAAGTCATCATTTTCAGTGAGCTAAGATAAAAGTCATCCTTTTTTCTTTGTTTCTTAGCGTGGTGGGAGAACAAATGTTATATAGAAGTGTCACGCCCTTACAATGATGGAAAACATTAGAGGAATGGATTTCACATCAGGAAATCTAGAGAGGAAAAATCCCTTCCTTTGGGATGGTGTTAAGTTTCTTTTTCCAGAGAGGGCAAAAGATCCACTAATTAATATGAAAGCAAAGCCAGGATGCCTGTGACAGCAATGAAGTTCATCCATTTATTTTCTCCTAGGCAGAGAAAGAAATCGGACAAATTAATTGTAATTGGGGGGGGGGGTTCAGATTTAATATTCTGAATGAATTTCCCTATAATTTGAGTATCTTTATATTTAGAAATAAAGCAATTTCAATTAAAAATTGTATAATTTTTTGACTCTGATCCCTCATAACATCCTTGAGAATTGGTTTCCCCACCTGTGAAATGTGGCTGGTTTTTCCTGCCTTAGAGAATCATTCCAAAGATCAGCTGTTGGGAGAAACAGAGCTGATGTAGGAGAGGAAAATTCAAACATTTACAGGCATTTAGGAGGTCATTGAAGTGTGATTATTAAGATGAGAGGAGGGTGGGCTCAGTTAGATTTGGGATGAGCAAGTATACTCGCAAAGGTGTTTCATTTCATTTCTTAAAAAATTGTTAAGACTTTGCCAAAGGAAAAAAAAATACCTAAGTCTCTGACATTTCCCAAATGATACTCCACAGCCCCTGCAGTAATAAAAGAATGGGCTCTGGTTTCAGACAGCCTAAAGAGTTTGAAATTACCTCAAAATACAGGATTCTACCTGGTTCTTAAGTAACTCGGGGAAGTTACTTACTATCTCCTTTTCCACAGCTTTATTGATATATAATTGACACAGAACATTGTATAAGTTTGAGGTGTGCCAATGTGCTGATTTGATACATTTATAAATTGCAAAATGATTACCACCATGGCATTAGCTATCACCTCTATCCCATCGCATAGATACCACTTATTTTTTTGTGGTGAGAACATTAAAGATCTACTCTTAGCAACATTCAAGTAGATGATACAACATCATTAGCTATAATCCACCGTGATGTGCATTAGATCCCCTAATTTGTTGATTTTTATAAATGGATTGTACCCTCTGACCAATATCTCCAATTTCCCCCACCTCCCTGGCCCTGGTAACTACCACTCCATTCTGTTTCTCTGAGTTTGTCTTTTTTGGATTCCACATATGAGTGATATCACACAGTATTTGGCTTTGGATGTCTGACTTGGGAAGTTACCTAATATCTTTCAGTCTTAATCTCCCCCAAATTATAACATTGTAACATAATGTTTCTACACCGAAGCGCCTGGGTGGCTCAGTTGGTTAGGTGACTGCCTTCAGCTCGGGTCATGGTCCTGGAGTCCCTGGATCAAGTCCCGCATCAGGCTCCCTGTTCGGCGGGGAGTCTGCTTCTCCCTCTGACCCTCCCCCCTCTCATGTGCTCTCTCTCCGTCTCTCATTCTCGCTCTCTCAAATAAATAAATAAATAAAATCTTTAAATAAATAAATAAATAAAATTTAAAAAATATATCCCCCTAGAGTGCTTGTGAGACTACCACAGTACGCCATGTATGCACATCTTAGCTCCTCAATAAATATTATTTCTTGTTCTCGCCTCATGAAGAGTGCTTTGTACATAATAATGTTCCACACAGATGTAAGGGGTGTTTGGTTTGTTTTGCTATCATTCACTGTATGACATTTAAATAACAAATTACAAATATCAAATTTTTGAAGTTCACTTAAATCAATCACTTCTAGTGTAGAGATGGAGAGACTTTTTTTCACCGCTATAATTATCTTACATGCAGATAAATATTTATTTAATTATTATATTCTTGTGGGAAACATTCTTGTGAATACTACCAACAAAAAGGTATTCTATTATGGCACAAGTAATTTCAAAACTATATAACAGAAATATTCATATGGACTCGTGTTATTTTCTATAAAAATATAAATAACTCCTGAACTTCTCTTCCAGCACTTTCCTTTGCCCCAAATCTCCAGTCAGGCCTCATGAAGTTCATCTCCAGTCTCTTCAACTACAACTTCATCGAGGAAACCCTGAAACCTGACAAAATGTCAGAAAACAGTCTCCAGGTCTAAGCTGCTTGAATCAAGAGTGGATTGACCCAACGGTAGGAAACGCCTTTGAAAGGAAAATTCTCCACCACTTCTGCGGGAAATTGGACAGGCAGAAACCTATGGGTGACCTGTCATGGAGCCTGAAGAGTTTGATTCCGAGGACAAGGAGATGTTAAGCTGGGATATTAATGATATGAAACTGCCACAGAATGTGAAAAAGACCAACTGGTTCCAGGAATCGCCAGATTCCTATGAGAAGCACATCTACAGCTCAAAGGACAGGAATGCGCAGCGGCACCTGAGCAGCTGGGCCATGCGCAACACCAACAACCACAACTCACGCATCCTCAAGAAGTCCTGTCTGGGCGTGGTGGTGTGCAGCCGAGACTGCTCCGCCGAGGAGGGGCGGAAGATCTACCTGCGACCTGCCATCTGTGACAAAGCCCAGCAGAAGCAGCAGAGGAAACGCTGTCCCAACTGTGACGGGCCTCTGAAGCTAATTCCTTGCCGAGGCCATGGGGGCTTCCCAATCACCAACTTCGGGAAGCACGACAGACGCTTCATATTCTTACAGTCAAAGGGAGAGCACGATCATCCAAAACCAGAAACCAAACTGGAAGCCGAGGCAAGAAGAACAATGAAGAAAGTACACACGGCGTCTGCCTCTGTCCCCTTAAAGCTGAAGGAGAGCCCAGAGGCAAAGATAAAGCACACTCTACCAAGATGAAATAACCAGGAAGTTTCTGAAAACATTGGACACCTGCAGTGTTGGGGATTGGAGAGGCCAAACTGTTATGTGAAATTTATGGCTTTATGGGCATCATACCATAGGTTTGTGGGTTTGTCTGCTTAATAGTGATGCTAATTCCGGTATTTTACTACTGCTCAGTGCTCCGCATTTCATGAGGACAGAGATGGAGCCAGTTCATCCCTAGAGGTTCTAAAAGTGTCTTATGTAGAAAAAAAATGTCATTTGGGTCTGTTAATAGGGACATGTGAGCCCCTGAAACCAAATGGTTGGTTCCTCAACCCTTCTCACAGCCCTGGGACAAAATGAAGGGCATTTCCTCCCACTCACTCTACTTTGTCATAGTCTCTCTACCCCCACCCTCTTGTTACATAAACAAGCAGATCACTTAATCCTCAGCCAGCTTCTTTCCCTGTGAATAACTGGAAGGTAATATGCTTCCTTTATTTATAGAAATAAATTTACTACTTCATAAATATATATATATAAATAACTCACAACTCATATGTTAGTCATTTCTGCATTTTACATTAGTTTTATGGGTTTTAATATTTAAATAACACATTGTTTAACTTTGCCTCTTTGGAACTTGAAAATGGAATCACCTTGTATATATTTTCTATCTACTTGTTCCACTCAACACTATGTTGATAGAGTTCCATGTGGATGTGTGTAGCTGTAATTTCTTCATTTTCCTTGTAATACAGCATTGCAATGTATGCATATACCATGATTTACTTATCCAATCTGTATTAGAAGAACATTTGCCTTGTTTCCAGTTAGGGCTATTGTATCATAGTTGCTCTGAAAATTTCTGTGTAAGTTTCCAGGTAAATGTGAATAAGAATTCCTCTAAAGTAGGGTTCAAGAGTGGAATTCTAGGGTCATAAGGAATGCATATCTTCAAATTTGCTGGAAAATGTCAAACTATTTTCCAAATTGGCACTGCAGCAGATGAGAATTCTCCATCTTCCACATCCTCAACAACATCTGATATGGTCAACCATTTTCTTATCCAGATCCATTCCATATCCATATCCAGATCCATGTAGTTAGAGGAATCTTTTCAGAACTTTAATTGGATCCCACCCTTGCTTTCAACTCTTCAGTGGATCCCCTTACTGTCAGAATAACATCACAAATCTTTGGTCTAAACTACAGGGCCATGCTTTATCTGATGTCAGTTATTAGACATTTAAATTTTTCCAGCTCTATGGGTATATAGTTGTATGCTATAATGGTTTTGATTTGCATTCCCTGATTACTAACTAACATGAATACCATTTCCTTAGTTTATTAGTTATTAGTACTTTCCCTTTTACAAAGTACCGATTATATCTTTTGATTGGTTTTCTGTTGGGCTGTTTATCTGATTCTTATCCCTTTATATGAGTTCTTCTTTATATTTCAATAATTCATGGTTATATATTATATATGGTTTTATATGATTATATATGGTTGCAATAATCTCTTTGTGACTCTTATTTTCAGTTTCTTTATGGTTTCTTTGGTGAAGAGAAGTTTTTAATTTTAATGTAGTTAAATTTATTAGTCTTTCCTTTATTGTCTGGATTTTGTTTCAGAAATCATGAGGATATAAAAATATTCTTTTAGGGCTCCTGGGTGGCTCAGTTGGTTAAGTGACTGCCTTCGGCTCAGGTCATGATCCTGGAGTCCCAGGATCGAGTCCCGCATCAGGCTCCCTGCTCAGCGGGGAGTCTGCTTCTCCCTCAGACCCTCCCCCTTTCATGTGCTCTCTCTCTCTCTCATTCTCTCTCTCAAATAAATAAACAAAATCTTTAAAAAAATACTCTTTTATAATAACTGCTAAAATTTTTATAATTTTACTTTTCACATTTATAATTGAAAGTAACCTGGAATGGATTTTTTTGTGAGGTAGTGATCTAGTTTCATTTTTTCTTATATGTATAATCAATTGTCCCAGTTCCACTTATTGAAAAGTCCAGGTTTTCTCCACTGATCTATAGTACCTGCTCAGTGAAACTCCAAATGTCTCTTTTGCATCTGACTTTTATTGGGTTCAATTTTCCATTCATTTGACCATTTTTATATCCCTGGCACCAATATATAGTCCTAATTACTAGGGCTTTCTTAAATCTTCATGTGTGGTAAGGTCAGTTACCCAGTTTGGTTTTCAAGAGTGTCTTGATGTCTTCAGCCCTTTGTAGTTCCATAAATGTTTCATTTATTTTGCCAAATTCCATTGAAAGGATAAAAATTATAAATGTATTGGCTCTATAGATCAATTAGGGAAAAACTGAAACAATATTGAGTCTTCCATCCCATGCATATGATACATTTATCCATTTTTTAAAAATGTATTTCAATAGAGTTCTGGAAGTCTTTCCGTACAGAATTTGGAAATGTTCTGTTAGATTTATTTCCAGGTACTTTATGTTTTGATGATAATATAAATGGTATGTTTAAAAAATATATTCATTTTCACTCTGTTGCTACCATATTAGAAAAACAACAGATTACTGTACATTGATTTTCTATCTACACACTTGAAGATTTATTTCTAACAATTTATTCTTTGGGGATTTTTATTCTTTTGGACATACTATGTGTTGTCTGCAATTAATGATTGTTTCTTCTTTTTTTTAATTCTTGCATCTCTTATTTATTTTCTTTGCCTTACAGAACTGGCTCAGACCTCCAGTACAATATTAAATATAAATAGTGATAAAAACCATCTTTGTCTTTTTTGGGTTCTAAAGAGAAGAGTTTGGGTTACTTACTATTAGATATCATGTTTGTATATGAATAGATGTTGAACTGTGTATGAAAGGCTTTGAAGGGCTAATATTAAGATGATATTTTTTACGTTCAAACTGTTCATTTTATTTCCTAATTTTATTTTTTGTGAATCTCTGTTATTTATTTTTCTTATTGAGATATAATTGACATTGTGTAAGTTTAAGGTATAGAATGCATTGATCTGATACATTTATATATTGCAATATGATTCCCTCCTTAGGTTTGCTAACCCCTCTCTCACATTACATAATTATTCTTTCTTTTTTTTTTTGTGGTGAGAACATGGAAGGTCTAATCTTTTAGCAACTTTAAAGTATATAATACAGTATTGTTGACTATAACCACTAAACTATGTATTAGGTCCCCAGAAGTTATTCATCTTCTAGTTGCAAGTTTGTATCCTTTGACCAGCTATGTTATTTTAAAATGCATGAAAATATATTCATTTGTTCATTGAATAAATATTTGTTGATGTCTAACATGTGCCAATCACTATTTCCATGCTAGAAACACTGGCTAAAAAATAAAAACCTTGTTCTTAGGAAGTTTACATTCTAGTAGGAAAGACAGACAGATGACATTAGAAATAAATAATATTATGTTAAGTGCCTTGAAAAAAAAAGTCAAGCTAAGTAAGGAGAAAGAGAGTAACAGGAATCTGCTTCAGAGAGTGTGGTGAAGGAAAGCCTCTTTGAGGAGGTGACATTTGAATGAATGAGGGAGTGATCCCTGGGAAGTTCCAGGGAAGGGCATTCCAGGTGAAGAGACTATCAGATGTAAAGATTTGAAAAAGCCAGTTGGAGAAATGAATGCATTTGCACCAGAGTCCAAGGGTTGGGAGTATAGTAGAGATTGGGACAAAGGCAGTAGGCACAGATTACATAAAGCTTTAAAAGTCATCATTTCCTAATTTTTGAATAAATTTTGTATTCTTGGGGAAAATACAATTTGGCCATAATGTATTATTACCTTTGTTCTACACTGCTAGATCTAGTTTGTTAATATTTCATTTCTGCATTTTACAATTATGTTCATTAGGGAATTGGACATGAACTTTTTTATTCATGCTCTCCTTGTTTGTTTTGGCATTAGTGTTTGGTATGCTAGCTTTAAAAACTGGATGGGGAAGAAAAGGATATTTCTGTCTTTCTCTATATTCTCAAATATTGAAATTCTTTCTTTCTTTAGCACGTAACACAATGGTATGGCAGTCACACGACACTTGTGGCATCCACAGATCTCGTTTCCTTTTCTGCATGGCACACAGCAAGACTACATTTCCCTGCTTCCTCGCAGTTACGTGGCACCATGGGACTAAGTTCTGGCTGATGGACTGGGGTTTACATTATATGAGTAAATGAGATTGTATATAAAAGTATTTTCTTTAATGAGTATTCACATCTGAGACATCATTTTTTAAGAAAACTTTCCTCATTTTTTAGTGATGGATAATAATATAAACAATAAATGGTAGTTATGTGGGTTAAAATTTGTGTGTAAAGGACCTAGAACAATAGAAGCCAACTTTATGTTTAATAAATATAAATTGTGACTATCATATAACACAATAATGGTATTTTGATAACAATACTATTATACTTTTCAGAGATTTAACTCTGAATTTACACTCCATATTAAAAAAGAAATAAATCTGTAACTTCAGTTTCCAAAAGAAATGAAATTGAAATAAAGTAAGAGAAATTATAAAAAATAAAGTCTTTGGGATTAAAAGTTACTCTAGACAACCATCACCCAAATATTCCAAATATTTTGAATTGGGTAAAATGGACAAAAATGTGCTTGTGGGAGCACTCTTAGAACTTAAGAGCATTTTGTTCCATTCTTCTTCAGGCTCAAAAGTAAGGTGGTCAGCCTTTGCACCCTTCTGTGCAAAGTTCCCTGCTGTCCTGCTAAGATACCAAGGATCTGGGAAACTTCCAGATCTTTCACAGCCTGGAGGGTTTCCCAGATCTAGGAGTGGTCACCTCCTCTGTTCCATTCAGAGCAATACGAGGTTGGTTTAGGCAGGAGCAATAACATTCTCCCTATACGTTCTGTTCTCCTGACATATAAAACCAGCCTAATTTGAGAACCTCAAAGATAGCCTTTAAAGAAAAAAAAATGAGGTACAGCTGAGGTAAATATGGTGACTATGTTTAGATGAATCCCAGATACTGCAAGAACAATTTTTTTTCATT